TTCCTAGCTATTTTAGTCCCCGTTCTTATATAGGTGTTTTGTGTGATTATATATATCCACGCCGATGTTAAATACAGATTCCGGCAAGCATTCATAAATATAGAATGTTAGGGATTTAAATTAAATTTTACGATTTAAAAAAAAACTCAATATATATATCAATAATAATTTTTAGATTTACTTGTTAAAATTAAAATACACAAATGTGGGTTTTTGCAGTATAATATTATAGATTAAAGAAACTGCTGAACTTCATATCGTAAGGTCACTGTCGGTTTCATATAACATTACATTTTTTTTAATATGATTCGCTAGAGCCATGGTCAGTATACAAAATGATTCCCAAGAGAACGCATTCGGGACTGTTACTTCTGTTCATCACATTTTGTGATGTTTTTGCAGAAGATGCCGTGATAAAAAGTAGTTTAACGTTTGTGATAGATGATACTGCTTCTATGTGGGATGAAATAAACCAAGTGAAAGATGAAGTTAATGTTATGTTTGAGACAGTGCTAAGTACCAAAGCGTCACAAATAGAAAATTTTGTGCTCGTCACGTTCAATGATCCAGGTAAATCTTTATTAATTTACTTGAATAACTGTTAAGTTTCAACTACTTTTAAACTGAGAAGCGATAGGTAAAGTTTTGTTCACGTACCTACCTACTTACTAACGTATTAAAAAATATTACAATTTTTTTTTTGTAGTCTCGTGTAATAGTTTTGATGATTTGATAAAGATACAGATTTTTACTAGGTCGTACGTATTTGGCCTGATGATTTCTGCTCCGTCAATTCTACATAATTATAATAACTAGCGTTTTGTAAAAGAGCCCATATTCGAACTGATCCATAATTTTTAGGATACTCACATTTGTACATAAAATTAAAGAGTATGTATAACAAGCCATTTCTTAAATGAATTCTTCTTTACTGTCTAGTTACGTCCTTTTTATATCAAAGGTATTTCAAACGACAATGAAGCTGAAAATTTCAATTAATAATTTTTATTCTATCTCTGTAGGTGATTCGAAATTGCTACTATTATTGGCCACTTAATGTGTATACTAATTTTATCAATACATCAATTTATTTTCTACAGTTTATGGAGTCCTTAACGATTTTATTTTAGGCGCTGTGCAGCGTATCATCACAAAGGACCGGGAAGATTATAAAAGGGCTTTGGCTACAATAACTCCCCATTCGTATCAAAACTATGACTGTGCAGAAGCTGCGATGGAAGGCATTGGCTTAGCACTTACAATTAGTATGCCCCGCTCAAATTTGTACGTTTTCACTGACGCATCAGCTAAGGACTATGCAAAGTTTGAACAGGTCAAGAGTCTTTCACAAAAGATGCAAAGTCAGGTAGCTATTGCCATTTTTTTATCGATTCCATTTCCCTTTTTAGAATGCTTTTATTGAATTATTTTTTTATAAATAACTCACCCACTTTTTCATGTCAAATGTGTTCTGAGTTCATATCATGATAGTCTTTTAGTGTGGGGAGAATCATCATAAAGTACTTTACTTGCCCACTTAGGCCCCATCTGTGGTGGTCTTTAATGGGCTCTTTGAGGAGTAAGCTGAACGCTACGAGTACGCTCGGGTCTGGTACTTATTAGTAAGCTACTCTTCCTCGCCGTTATTGTAATATAACTACAATATAATAACGGATGTCTAGCAATAAGCCATATTTTTTTTTGTCAGGGGAAATCATCCAATGAATTCTTCCACCTAGGGTAAAGCGACATCAGTATCAGACTCTTACTGGCTAAAAACCCCTCGTTCCTTCTCCGGTTTTGGGCCGAGACCACGGTGTCATATTGCGTTTAGCCCGCAACCTCAGCTGAACATCAGCCCAATAGGGCCACGTCTGTGGTGGTCTATTGGCTCTTTGAGGCGCGCGCGGAATGCTAGGCGCCACACGTTCGGGTCTGGTTCTGGTCGGGCGTTGAGCTACCCATATTCGCCGTCCGCAGACCCATACTTACGATGGCCGGAAATCATCTCTTGACACCTTGACGCCCGGAGTGTCGCTCACTGCAGTGGCTGGGGCGTAAGGAAGAGGAAAGAACCCTCACGCGGTCCGCTTCCTTATTTGCGAGCATAACTGCTTCACAGAAAGAGGAGACGGCTTCCCAGTTCCTCTCGCTTCGCACCATAGCCTTGACTAAGACTGGGCGCGAGAGGTCGCCGCCGGCAATCACTTCTCTGAGGACACGGCGGTGCTCAGCCCAAGCAGGGCACACCGCCACCGTATACTCCACTGTTCTCTGAGTGGTCCACACAATGACGACACTCGAACGTTTTCTCCCGCCGAATCCGAAACAGGAACCTACCGAAGCTGCCGTGTCCGGTAAGCACCTGAGTCAGGAGGAAGGTGAGGACGCCATAGCATCTCTCGAGGGACTCCTTAAAGAGGGGTCTTACCGCTGCTATAATAGCATGCCTGGCCCTCGGCTGTGACAGACGTTGCTTACACTCTGCCATGAGATCGCGCTGTAGCTCGTTCTGCCACGCTCAAATTTGGTGCGGCGTAGGATTTTGGCCCCGGCGACGTGCGTCGGCGCGCAAACTATAGACGCGCGAGCGCTTTCGCTTCCAGATCCCATGACGGTGATCCGGCAAGGAGGTTCGCCCTGGAGATCGTGCGCTATCCGCGGATTATACGAATAGCCATGACCTCTGGGACGCGACCAGCGCACGAGCTGGCCGCCGCCTCAAGTCGAGGCCCACACAGAGGCCCCGTAGAGGGCCATGTATCGCACGATCCCCATGTACAACCTTCTGCAGGAGGCATTCGCCATTCGCAAATGCGTCGTGAAGTACCACCGGCTGACGAGGACGAAACCCAGGTACTTCATCGCTGCCTCGACCCCGATGGTAACCCCTCTTGCCATTGCTTGGAACCCGGAGGTAGCGCGTTCCGACGGCCATAAAAACACATCGCGCCTCAAACTTGTGGAGCGCCACCTCTAGTCCCAACTGGCGGATCCTTGCAACGATTGTCGCAACCGCTTGTGACATCAGGTCGGCTGCCGCCTTATGCAACCTCGAGTTCGCCTGTAGCAGCGTGTCGTCAGCGTAGCAAATTATGTTGACTCCGTTCGGGAGGTCGTGTGCACACAATCGTACCGGATGTTCCACAGGAGCGGTCCCAGGACCAATCCCAGTGGAACACCGCGCGACATCTCCCGCCGGTTTCATACGCCCCGGTGACCGGGGTAGATGACGGAGCTATCCGTCAAATAAGCCTTGACTACACGACGGAGATAGGTAGGCACCCAGTGATACCGGAGTGCCTGCCTAGCCTGCCAGTATATGAAGTGTAGGAGTAAGTCATTGAATTTTTCCAAATTTGATGAAACATATCAATGTAGTCCCGTTGTTTAAATCTGGCGATGTTACCGATCCCAATAATTATAGGCCGGTATCAATTTTAAAGATAGCAAGGTGTTTGAAATGCTAATGTATTCTCAGATGCTACGACACTTTAATATGAATGCCATGTTTCATGACCAACAATATGGGTTCACCGCTGACGCCGGTTCAACTTTAATTAAGCAGGAGCAGTTTTGCCTCATGGGAAAGGCCACACGATGCTATTGGGTTTTTATGACCGGTCCAAAGCTTTTGATTGCGTTGAACACGAGACACTGTTGCTGACGTTAGAACACTACGGCATTCGAGGGGTATCATTCAATTTATAAAAATCATATCCCCAGGATAGGCACCTCAAGGTACAAGCAAATAAAGTGAACTCCCAGTTTGCTAGCATATCTATTGGCGTGCCACAGGATTTGGTCCTTTCCTCTTTTTGGTCTACAAAGATGACTTATCTCATTTATTTCAAAGTGAACCCGAAATAGTAGTATTTGCTGACAAATCGTTAATTTATAAAATAAATAGACGGGCAAAGAATTATGACGAAGTAAATAATGCTATCGTGAAGATTCATAATTGGTTTACAGTAAATAATTTAGTACTAAATGACAAAAAGACGAAGTATATACGATTCAGTTTGGCTAGTGTTAAAAGTAACGAATGTAAGATATGAAAGCGGAATTTGTAACACAAACTACTTTTCTGGGAATAATTAAAGATGAGAGGCTGCAATATATGTTATATTGCAGCCTCTCATCTTTACAAATTCCGCTTTCATATCTTACATTCGTTACTTTTGGCTCTGGCAGGACGATTGAGCTCTGCAGTATTTGCTGTCTGGAAGATCCGACAGCTAACAGATGTGGACACTGCAAGACTGGTATACTTCAGCCACTTTCATAGCATCATGTCGTATGACGTATAGCGTCGCGAATCTCTTAGAGAAACGTTTAAAGAAATCAATATTATCACAGTGCCTTGTCAGTTTATTTATGAAAAAATTATGTATGTTAGGAAAAACTTAAATATATTTGATAAGGAATAAGACAGATATTATTATTAAACTAGACATAGAGATAGTTGATGTCAGCCATTAGGCTGACATCAACACAGAATCCCATGAACAACACAGAATCCCATGAAAGACTTTTGTGATCGTTGTCAATCTAAAATTATTTAGATTGACAAAGATCACAAAAGTCTTTCATGGGATTCTGTGTTAAATGTGATAACAAAATCCCAACCATTAAATGAAATAAATTTTAAATAATGTGTAAACAAAACTTTATGTAGACAAGCATATTACAAACTGAATGATTATATTGTAGATCAAGATGCTTGGAGAGGTGCTGGTCCTGCTCCACAAGATAGCGAAACCAACACCAAAATAAATAATTATCCAGTGGATTTTTGGTTGAACGAGACTTTTCAAATTTAGTAAAATTGCATTATATAGTCAAATATGATAAATTTGTACAATGTGAGTGCCATGTAACCTATTACAATTGGTTAGACTAGCAGAATGTCGGTCCTAACGTCAGCTTGGAATTGTCATGCTTAATCGAAGATCACAGTGGCAGTGGCACAGGCGCTGGATCGCTAAATTCCCTATAATATGGTTGAGTTGGGCGATGCTGGTGTGCGTGTTATGTTCGTGAACGGGCACCGTCAGTTGGGACTGGTCAGCTTGTCAGCTCCGGACTGCTAACGGAGGTTATTTTCTTTTTATATTTCTCTGAATAAATATTAGTGTAACACTGTTCTCACATAATTGAACCAACTGTTTGTTTAAGGAATCTGTATGTGAAACCGATTTAAAAAGAGTTACCACGAAGCTTCTGGCTTAGTCTTCTCCATCGGAATCTACACTTTGGAACGAGCAAATAGCTTCACTAAGAGGACTGACCGACAGACTGACACTAAGTATATCTTCAAAATTTAGTTTGACGTTCAAAAGTGCCTATAATATAATTGAAATAAATGATTTTTGACTACCTCGGTCAAGCCATAAGGTGAACAAGTGATCCGCGGCGGCGAACTCTCACGTCTGGCCTTATTTGTGGCCAACGGGTCTTACCTGCTGTTAGAATCCATTTAAACTTGTATGATCCTCTACTCAAAAGACCACTACATAATGAACTAGCACGGTAAGGTGGGAACCTTATTTCATTTTTGTCTATAAAATATGGGCTCTAATAGAGATTATAATACCCAACCTCTGATTTTTTCTGGTTTTTCGTCGAGGTGATGTCAGATCGGAAATGTTGTGTGGAGGAAATATATTTCGTGGTAGCTAAACAATATCAATTCAAAATTGAAAAAAGACAGCCCCGTTATACTGGAATATTATTTCAAAGTAAACTAGGATAAGGCGAAGATATAAGCAGAAAGGTAAACGAGTATATTTTTAATATGTTTTTTTTATTTTTAGGTAGTTTTTGTATTGACGGGCGAATGCAGAAGTGGAAGAAATTCACCTGATTACCAAGTGTATCATCAATTGGCAAATGCTACATCTGGTCAAGTCTTCAATGTGATAAAAAATGACGTAAAAGATGTAAGAATCGCTGTATACATTTCTAACAAGACATCAAACCTATATAATAATAATGAAAACACTCAATCTTCCTGATGAGCATACTCTTATTTTGACAATGGCATAATAACTAAGAGTGTTGACTTAAATTGAAAAATAAAAAGATAGTTGACCAAAGGTTTTAGTGTGGGTAAGTATGGCAAAACAAGCATATTGGTCAACAGGTTATGCAATCGATAACGCTTATGGACGCCTGCCTTATCCGAGGAGCTACAAGTCTATTGCCGGATTTTATAGGAGGAGGATTGGGCTTCCAGAAACCTCGCCTCCAGTAAAGAAACACAATCCAAGCCTTATTTCACGACCATTTTCAGTGAGGCCACTTCGGTCGAGTCAGCTTGATTGATACATTTTGCATTTTTCACAGATATTAAAATATATTGAGGAGTCTATTACAGGCATAGAAAGCAAGCTCGTAGACAAAACATTTTCACCTGGCTATGATAAAAATGTTACAGTGAGTATCCTAATGAGTCAACGCATGGTGACTATACTTTTAATTGAGCATTAATGACGTAAACATAAAATTCAAATTCAATCCACGTCTGTATATTTAAAAAATAAATTAATTAGGTTTCTTATAATAATACAGAACTTTGTCCCTTAGTTTTTTACGGATACCCATACTGGATATGTAATGATAACAGTAACTGGGACAAACCCTACAATCGGAGATGTAATTGGACCCAGTGGAAGTCGGCATAAAACGACACCCATTATACCAGGAAAAGCCGAAATCGCGGTGAGTGGCATGTCTATTGTACACCTTTGTATAACTTAAATGTAATCAATAATCGAGTGAGTTAAAATATAACAAAATAAAAAATAACTACAGGTCACAAAATAAATACGTTGTCAATCAAGTCACTTATAAAAAAAAGTAGGTACTAAACTTTAAAGCCAAATTTTGGAAATAAAATCCTGTAGAAACATCAAAGCCTTGCACGCCTACAGATTAAAGGTTGACTTTATCTTTAAGTTTATATTGAATGCAAGAGCTGCTCAATAGCTGAAAATAACTGTCATTTTAAGTTTTGTCCACCAACAGGCGGTGAAAGTGACGGACACAAAGCCAGGAAGATACTACGTGACGATTGGAAGTACTTCCGTAACGCATGTAGTTGTGAGTGCAAAAAGCGCAATTAATTTCCAACTTGGATTTAACGTGTTTAAACCAAAATCCAGCAAAGACATCGTCACAAGACCGCCGCCAAGTTTGTATAATTTTATATAACATTTGTGTGGCAAAGAACTACGTCTTAGGCTCTAGACAGACGGACTGCATTTCAACTGCAATCCAACTGCAAATTTGCAGTTCAGATGCAGTTTGAGTGCAGTTGTCACGACTGCAATAGAACTGCAAAACAACTAACCAAGCAATCAACATACGAATGCACGCCGACTGCAATTGAACCGCAATCGGACTGCTCGGTTGGTTTGCAGTTCTATTGCAGTCGTGTCGACTGCATCCAAACTGCAAATTTGCAGTTGAAATGCAGTCCGTCTGTTTAGAGCCTTAGTTACTTTTGAGGCAATTTCTTATTTATATATTTTTCTTGTAGAAGGGAATGTTTTCATGGGTGTCAAGTTACTCGGGTCAGGTGTGAAACTGGAGACAGTCAAAATACTTGGAATGAGCGATGAAGTTATTAAAGAACTAAAATTGGAACTACTCGATGAAAAAGCGCAGTTCTATGTGACGCCGTTATTCGACCCTCCGTCTACTATGTTTCGTGTAACAGTAAGTAACTACATTTTTTTTGTTCTCATAGTAGACATTGTCTAACGCTTGTGATGAAGACTTGGTGGAAAAAATTGTGGATCACTCAAAGAGTAGGTCACGTACAGGAACCGTGCTACGATACGTTAGAAAGAACTCGGCAGACATCATTATTTTTATTTCATTTTTATTGATAACAGAAAACATACTTACAGGATTTACAACTAACAAAAGTAACAACTTAAAAAACTATTAACTAATTATATATTTTCGCATTTAGTTATCTATAAAGAGCATGTTTGAAAGTGAAAAAAATATTAATAAAAATTTTTACAAAAAAAAAACCGCCTTCAAAAAAAGTCAAGCGATAAAAGTTCCTACACTAAAAAGTTAAAAATAAAAATTTGAAATGCTGTAAAGAAACTTAATTTATAGGTAAATTTATTTGACATAAACATTTTGCAAATATTCAAAATTTATTACTTATTTTTGGAGTCGGTGCCAGCATTTTTATTGTTGAAACTTAATGTTAGTTAGCTTTTTAATATCCGGGACATTTTTCGTACATTATGCTTAAACATTTTCAATGTACTTAAAATGTGGCAGAATGTTTTTGTAAGTATATATTTTTTATTTGAAAAAAATGTGCAAATCAGATATTTTTTTAGAGAAGTCTTTTCTGTATTTATGTCTTAATTAATGTATATATTTGAGTATGCAAATAGGTATTAAGTAGTTTTATAATTAAGTAAGAGGTAGTTTTTCAAGGGATAGTTGCCCATTCGTATTACCTTGCCTGGGCTGGCACCGACTCCAAAAATAAGTAATAAATTTTGAATATTTGCAAAATGTTTATGTCAAATAAATTTACCTATATATAAGTTTATTTACAGCATTTAAAATTTTTATTTTTAACTTTTTAGTGTAGGAACTTTTATCGCTTGACTTTTTTTGAAGGCGGTAACGAATAAATCAGGTTCCGAAAAGTCGACCAGGTTGTTGTAGGATTTTGCGCATCTTACAAAGAACGAATTCTGTCTGTAGCTGGTGAAGCAACCGGGAACAATAAGAAGAAGGAAGGGTGTTTGGAAAGGTCTAGTGGGGACGCGAAAATTAATTTTGGAGCGACGTTTACTATTTTGTAAACAAATAAATTACTCACCTCCTCTACATTTAAATAGTCCTCAGGGTAGCCACAGCCCGCCATACGACCTTATTAACGTTTCCTAATAGAAAGCCTTGTTTAGAGAACCGGCGCTTTTTTCTTGCTGTGAACTAAAAACTTCTTCTTTCATTTCATCGTTTTTGCGGAATTATTTATCCCTTTATTTGTAAAACTGAAATTAATATTTTTTGTTATTCTCATAACCCTCTTCCCTAATACCCGACACACATTAGTAATGTTTCTATGGTATGTGGTCCTTAAGATGTTAGGGCGGTGTTAGGTCGTTTATAGTATGATTTATTCCTTGAGTTTTTCATAAATGTATTGTTGACTTGTGGTGGTGGTCCTAGTATAGGAGCCCGCTCCTCATGCATGATGAGGGTTCGAAACCTGGCAAATACCAATGTGACTTTTCCGAGTTTTATATACTTTCTAAGATTATTTAGACACCACTGACATACGGTGAAGGTCAACATCGTAAGGAAACCTGGAATTATAATTTCTAATTATAAGTTTGAAATCACCAACCCGCATCAAGCAAGCGTGGTGAATAATGCTGTAACCTCCTCCGTGTGAGAAGAGACCTTTGCTCAACAGTGGACACTTATAGGCTGATGATGATGATGATGGTTGTTGACTTCCGGCAAAGCAAAACCAACATATTTATTGCAAAACTGCAAAACTGCCTTTTTGTGTAGAGAAAATCATCAAATGACTTTTCCCGCCAATGGCAAGGCAAGAGGGAGTGTGAGATTATTTCTAACCCTCCTCACTCCCTCCTGCGGCGCCTTGATTGTTTAACTGCCTTGTACACAGTATTTTAGAGCATTGTAGCACTATTTAGAGACCGCACGACGCCACTGAGACTGAAACGAGTGCAAGAAAGGTTCGTATGGCATTCAGCATTTTCTTCAAAGATAACCAAAAGAAGGTCCTAAAAAATAGATTCTCGGATTTCAACATGGTCTCCTTAGAAAAGCGTCGCAACATAACAGACAGCCCAATCCTTGTTAAAATTGTCCAAGGTCGTGCTTATCTGTAAAAAATTATGACACAAGAATTAGTTACTGTAATACATAAGTTTTTGCTGTTATTGTATAAGTGTTCACAATAAGTGATAAACCAATGAAATAAAAAAAAATATTATTATCGTAAATAATATTTGTCGCATACATTTTTTTTAATTAGTATAATTCACTGCTTGCCTCTGGCACCCATCGTTTACTGTTGTCTGCATCACACAAAGGTCAGCCTTGCAGATAACATCATTATAAAAAAAATATAACACTGACATCACTCATCGAAATCATACCTACTTCATTCTGACCACTGATTACATTGCATCAACGACTTTGTAAGACACATTACCTACCAATATTTAAGTCACATTTTGTTTAGTTAATAATAAAACTATGTTTTTTCTTACAGATAAATGGATATGACATCGATTCTAAAACGCCAATAACGAGAGTAAGTCCAACACCGATATCCAGACAAGATTTATCCACAGGTAGAAAATGTTTCTATAATTTTTTTACCCTTCAATCCCTTAACACATTTTCTGTCGTAATTGCATAGTTATTATTATTGACGGGTTTTTATGATTTAGACACCACTGATATATGGTGAAATAAAACATCGAGAGGAAACCTGGACTTAATTTCGAATTATCAATTTGAAACGGTCAATCTGCCTTTACAAAGCGTGGTGATTAATGCTCAATTCTTCTCCGTGGGAGACGAGGCCTTTACTCAGCAGTTGGCATTATAGGCTGATAATGCGGTGTGGTTTAAACACATTTTATTTTTTCATATGAAAAGTTCAATTGTCTTTCCTGTTTTTAGATTTTGTGGCGAAAGTAGACACAGCCCCGAATGTAACGATTGATGGTGACAAGTCAGTAACCCTTTACGTTGACGATCCATTAGAACTGACTTGTAAAGTTCACGCTTATCCTGAACCAGAAATAATATGGGAAGATAAAAATCTTGGGGTTGTGATTCCTTCAGAGGTAATTACATTTTAAGTCAAAGGTCGTTCTTTTCAACAAACTCATAATACCACTTGATAATGAACTAAACAAAAAATATGTCATCACAGATCTGTTAAATTTTGACGAAAATAGTTAAAATATACAGTTAATTTATATTACCAACTTCGAAAAAAAAAGAGCCCTCATTTTATTTTTAGTTCATTTTTTTTTCCGAATTTAACAGACGAACATCGTCGAGGTTCCTTACGACTATGTCAATATTTTAAAAGTAGACAGAGTAGAAAAAAATACTACCTACCAATGTAAAGCCAAAAATAGCATTGGAGATGAAGTTCAAGGTGTAGAAATCATAGCAAAAAGGAGATTTTATTTCAATGTTATCGATTCTCCTAAAGGTAAGTTTTATAGAATATAATTATAAGTATTTATCTACTTTAAGAAACCAACATTTGACTACAACATAAATAACCTTTGTAGATAAATATGTTCGCACAGGAAAGAAAAGTATTTCAAAATATATTATAAGATTATTTAAGTGTGGGAGAGCCATGCTTCGGCACGAATGGGTCGGCTCGACCGGAGTTATACCACGGCCTCACAGAAAACCGTCGTGAAATAACCACAGCGTTGTGTTTCGCCGTGTGAGTGAGGTTACCGGAGGCCCAATCCTTCCCCTCCCCGAATCCCTCCTCAATCCCTAAATCTTCAAATCCCTAATCCCTAAAAGGTCGGCAACGCACTCGTAACTACTCCGTTGCGAGTGTCCATGGGCGGCGCTGATTGGTTACCATCAGGCAATCCGACTGCTCGTTTGCCGATCGTTTACACAAAAAAAATTAAGTAGTCAAATTCAGGTATGATGTACATAAACATAACTCACTGATGTCATTGATGAAACAGTTACACAGATACTGTTTCAAAAATCGGTTTCCCGAAATTGTGCCAACTTTGTTTCTAATGTTCTCGACCGTACTACGGTTAGGTGGCGCCGGATTAATCATTTGTATGAGTTACTGAAACAAAAAAAAAATCCGACACACTAGTTAATCGCCGCGTTTAGCACATGAAAAACAAAGTATAGATAAGTACTTAAAATAATTTTGTCCTCTAGCCAGAAATGGCATATACCTAACGCAAAATTCATAATTTGATAGACCTAAGGTTGAAAATATCGTGGTTGGTATAGCGTTTCATAGCCGTACTGCGAGGCCTTTGCCAGTGTATGCCAGATTTATGGTATGCGAGTGTTATAAGGCATGCTTGAATGTATTTTTTTTCTCTTTGTAGATATTCGTATAAAATATGCAAAAGAAGCCGAACTCGTTTGCAAGATAGATGCCTACCCATCTGCGACTATAAGTTGGTATAAAGATGCAAAGCCTTTGTCCAGCAGCAGTCGTATTGAAATATCCAAAGATAATTCAGTGGTGACCTTGAAAGACATGCAACCGGGGATGGAAGGAAAGTACATGTGTGAAGCAAAGAATGATATAGAAAGAAAAGTATTCTATTCCAATGTCGAGATATTTGGTATAGGTAAGTAAATTTTACAAATCTAAGAGGAAAGGCTTGACAACACTACAATCATGCATGTAGTATAACTCAATAATATGCTATTAAACGCAAATGGATCTGAAAATTTATGTCTTGCCGTTGATTCTTACTTTTCAAAGAGTGAGAGAATTGGGTAATGTTGGTAGCAGTAATAATTTTTCAAAAACAGATGACATCAAGTTGCTGAATTGTTTCGTAAAAAATACTGATGGGCTTATAGGCTTTTTTTGAGTAATGAATATATCGATTCAAAAAGAATAACTAGCTGGAGGCAATAAGATGCGTAGTTTAATTAACATTTCATTTCAGAAAAACCAGTAATCGATAAGTCTGTTGATGAGATCCGTATTACAGAAAAAAACAATGGTGAATTGTCTTGTAGGTAAGTTCGTAAAAAACATAAATAATATTTTTATATTGTTCATCATTTCTTTGTTATCTGAAATAAATTAAAGAGCTCGTAGGGCAACTTGAGGCGAGGGTATGAGAATTAACGATCTCGCTACCACGATCTCTCGAATAGGGAGAAGTGCTCGTTCCGTTTCTCCAACTTGTTCTAATTGGGTGGATGAAAATAACGGTGGTGACGGCAAGGCTCCGTACGGTCACTAAAGGCAAGCGGCGTGCCTTCGTTGGCCGTCCAGAAGGGTGCCGTGTAAGCAGTAATCCTGCTTGGATTGAAGCTGTTTTTAATCGGCGAGTAGTTCAGTGATGTAGTGATGTAGGCAAATGTAAATGGTACTGGTAGAAGGCTGGTGGTAGATTTTCATCCCGCTTTTCACATGTTTGTTGTCCCTCTATTGCTACGTCAGCTACTGTTAGCCAGTTAGTCATGCCACTCAGTGATTTGGCAAGTGTCAACCTGCTCTACGTACATTAATTCGATAGGTCTGTGTTATAGTTTTCCCAAAGTTTTTATTACAATAATTCACTGCAAACGGCACCCTTACCAATGTATCTACATTACATACCATTGTACCATCACATACCAATGTAGACACATTGGTAAGGGTGCCGTTTGCAGTGAATTATTGTGGATACTGAAAATAATCTTATTTTCAGTATCCGTTCTAGTTCTAGTTATCTAACCGTAGACTATACTGATAATATTAGCTTTATAATATTTACTAACTTCATGATAATGTAGGACGAAAACACAAACTTTATTTTTACAGAATTCTTAAAGGGATCCCAAAACCGACTATAACCTGGTCCTTCCGAGGTTTGGGTAAAAAAAGGAAATTGAAAGAAACTGGGGAGACCATACAGTTGAAAAATGCTAAAAGACACAAAAGTGGTGTGTACACGTGCAGAGCGGAGAACGTCTTGGGAACAGATAATCACGAAACAGAAGTGATTGTAGAATGTAAGCATTAACATCGTTTTAACGCTTTATGTACTTCAACAATGTCAGAGTCATTTCAAAAAAATACGTGGAATATACACTTTTAACCTTCATTAAGAAACATAATAAATATAAATATATATCAAATGTAATATAAATCGGCTCGGACATTTAACAGAACCAGCAAGTCTAAATAATGTGTTCGGCAGTTAGGAATTAAGACTAATGAATACACTCCTATCTACGTATCAGAGCAGATGACTAGCTAAGATTCACGCTTATATTTTCTCGCCCGCGACTTGGCTTAATCGAAGGACTACAAATACTGCTGGACAGCATATGGGCAAGTTTGCGTAAAAAGAAATGACAACTCACCCAAAATCATAATAATAAACGAAACGCAGGTTACCAAACTTATGCAACAAATATGACTAGTTCTTTTGAAATATTCTCTTATATGCCTATCGTGTATAAATAATAGTATTCACACGTCGACTGTATTAAATAAAAAAATGTAAGATTCAAAATAGATATATTACCAAGTTTTGTTATAGTAATGCGCTCTCACACACTAAAAACACACACTAATCAACACTTCCATCAAGAAAATTGACCTCATCTTCTGAAGTTAGCCGTTTGTCTGCGCAATGGATCTTTAAGGAACAAAATTGTGTACTGCGCAGCTACTCGGCTAACTTCAGACTCGCCAAGATACAACGGCCGTATTATAAACTGCAATACCTCAAACTCTCACATACACAAAGACACTCAAACATAATATACGCTAACATACCCAGACACTTACACACACAACCAATTTCCTTAACCGCCACGTATTCTTGCACTAATCGATCTAATTTACATACAATAATGGATGACACTTTAAAATCTATAAATGAAAATAGACAACAACTCCGATTTCACTATTATCTCGCAGAATATTAGAAGGGTCTATGCCAATTTTAACGACCTACAACTAAACCTAGCAAACTTGTTCAGATCATCCTAAGCGAATGCAGACTGAATCCCAATAAAAATATTCCTCAATTAAGTAACTACTATTCAGGTTACATTTAAACATTTAAACAAAGCAGACAAATAAAGGAAGTAGAATTAACTCATGCGTCTTGTTTACAAGTCACCATAAACCCCGACCTTATAATAGTAGGTATATATCGTTCCCCATGTAAAACAAATGCCGGTGACTTCATAAACTCATTAGCTCTTCATTTAACCGCTATTTCCCCTAGAAAAACCATATTTATTACTGGATACATCAATATAAACTTAATACACAAACCAGAGGAGCAATAACATGAACGCTCAAATAGACTCAATTATTTAAATATGTTAGCAATACACGGCCGGCCCCGGATACTCACTTCCTACAAGAGGAAATAGTTGTTTGGATCACTTCATTCTTAAGCTTAAGCCAAATAAAAAAACTGCTCTCATCGGAATTGTCGACACCACCACCTCCGACCACTCAATGATATTTCTCAAACTTTCTGTATTAACTTACAGCCAGGACACAACCACATCTAAAATCAAAACCACCATAAACATGGAAAATGCACTCGAACTTTTAGAAACTAGCAACATACAAGACCTAATGAATATAACTAATCCCAATATCCTTACAGATAGCATCATAAGTCTTTTACAAAGACGTCTCATTGACAGTACTCTTACTAAAAGAATCTCAGTTAAATGTAGAATGATAAAACCATGGATAACCATTGGTCTGTTGCGTTGCTTACATAATCGCAACTACATTTAAAAAAAGCTCAAATCAGACCCTCACAATGAAATTTTAAAAATCACTTATTTAGAAGAGATATCGGAATTATTGCAACTCCATAATTAGATATCAGAAACGTAAATAAGATCGCGACCAGCTTTACAAAACACATAAAATAAAAACTCAAAAAGTTATGGCATACAATTAACACAATCACCCGACGAAAACCACCTAAAACTGACTCCGCAGAATTATTAGAATCAGCCGCTACCCCTGTTGAGGCTGTTGATAACGTAAACAAATACTTTACTACAATAGGGAAGTGCCTTGCTGACAAGATTCTAAGTACCACAGGAAGACAAACCGTGTTTGACACCAACGTACCTACAAAAATTAAATACGGATTCTCCTTTTTCGTCTTTTGTGCTACTAAACTCAAACCCTGAAGAAGTTGCAACTGTAATTACGAGTTTAAAACCTAACAGTCTACCGGCTGGGATAAAAATCCTATAAACTTCTTAAAGGCTGCTCAGTTGATGTTTCACCTATTATTTTACATCTTATCAACATCTGCTTCGAACAAGGAGCCTTTCCAAAAGCACTGAAACGAGCTGTAATCACTTCTGTGTATAAGGTTGGGGACAGCGCTGATCCGTCAAAAATAATGAAAAGAATAATAAATCAGAGCTTACTCGGTTATTTAACAAAGAACGGGACTTTATCCTCTTCGCAATTTGGCTTACAACAGGGTAAGTCTACCAAAGACGCAATCCAGGTTCTCACATCCAGTGTTACTGAAAAACTAGACACTGGAAGTAAGTGCCTAGCAGTCTTCCTGGAACTCAAAAAAGCCTTCGACACAGTGTCAGTCCCCACTCTTTTAAGCAGGTTAGAAGGCATCGGAGTTAGAGGAACACCGCTAACATTATTTGGCGAATACCTGAGCGAACGCAGCTATGTTGTTAAGATCGGCACAGTCGTTAGTTCTGAAGAAATAGCCACATATGGTGTTGGACAGGGTAGTGTGCTTGGTCCAACATTGTTCCTCATTTATATAAACAATATTTGTAGCATGAACCTCCAAAGTTTCCTACGGTGATGATACCGCAATACTTTTTTCGGGTGATACATGGGACAATGCTCGCCGTACCGCCGAACGCGGCTTGGCCAGGGTAGCCATTTGGCTCAACACCAACCTGCTATCTTTGAATATCTCAAAGACTAGTTATATTTGCTTTTCCTTAAATAAACGCACTCAACCATCATAAGATTTTCAAATAAGAATCCATACATGCCCTGATTTTTCCAATTCCAACTGCACTTGTATAAAAATTAACAAAGTCAGTATATCAAATATCTCGGTGTAATACTTGAACAAAACCTAACATGGCATTACTTGGAACTTTTAATGGGCCGAGTCAGGAAGCTAATGTGGACGTTCAAGTCTCTTCGTCATGTGGCAACGAAAGACCTTATCCGACAAGTATACATCTCGTTAGCCCAATCTACACTAATTTACTGTTTGCCAGTATGGGGCGGCGCAACCAAGGGCAAGTTTTTGGAACTAGAAAGGGCCCAGAGAGCCCTGCTGAAGCTTATGCTATTCAAGCCACTAAGATTCCCTACTGTTAGTTTATACTCAACCACTGACCTTTTGCCTGTAAGAAAGTTATATGTCCTTCAAACCGCTTTGAAAAAACACAAATCTCTTCCCTTCAACCCTTCTAATATTCAAAGTAGAAGGAAGAAGAAGGTTGCTCCAGAACCCACAGTAAATACTACATTTGCCACAAAACAATACCCTAAATTGTCATCTCGCATCTACAATTTTGTAGACAAAGAACTACAAGTATATCACCTGACTTACCATGACTGCAAACAGATACTCTCTGATTGGTTGAAAACAAAGAGTTACGAAGAAATCGAGTCTATGTTACACACTATCGGTTAACTCGTAAAAATCGTCCAAGCCACACACACACACAGACAGACACACACACACACACACAACACACACGCGCACACAGACACAGACACACACACACCAGGACGCGAGCGCGCGCGCATACATAACCTGTGTGCACTCCCTCCGGTTTTTATTTTATTTATATTCCCGTTTTGTCTTTTACTTTTAGTCGTATCTCGTAACTGGAAGAGCGAATCAACCTAATACAAACATAACTTTGTTTAAAAGGTGATTCCAAATGTCGTTTTTAGTAATATGCATAAGTTGATGAAATAAACATTTTTATTTATTTATTTATTATATCAGATAGGCTACCGCGCAACGTGTCGCGGGTTCGATTCCCGCACGGAACAACTCTTTGTGTGATCACAGATTGTTGTTCCACACAATATCTAGTTGTGACTAATGTTGCATAACAGGCGTACATTCAACCATCCAAGTTTTTTTTATATTTATATAACTCCATCCACTAGACTAGACAAGGAAGCGTGGACTTATCTAAAAATCATATCTATCTATCTTCTAATAGATACTATTATTTGTTTCATCATCATCAGCCTATAAGTGCCCACTGCTAAGCAAATACCTCTTCTCATACAGAGAAAGTTTTGAGTATTAATCACCATGCTTCCGCAAGGAATTACTGATTTTCAAACTTTTATTAGAAAATTGAAGTCCAAATTACCTCACGATGTTTTCCTTCTCCGTATGTCAGTAATGTCTTAATCTTACTTATATTGTGAATGCGAAAGTTACAATGTTTGGATGTTTGTAACTCAATCACGCCAAAACGGCTGAACGGATCTGGTTTTAAATTTGGCACAGGCATAGAATGCACTCCGGAATAGGACATAGCAGCCGCGTGCGGAAACTAGTGAACTAAAAAGCACATATGACTCTGAAAAAGTCACATTGGCCAAAATCACTTGCCAGGGTCCGAACCCTCATGCATGAGAAGCGGACACCAGGCCACCACGGCTTACTTGTATATCTTTTCAGATCCACCACAAATAAAACGGAATGTTAAGAAAAAAAAAATTGTGGATGGTGATGAAGTGGAGTTGACGTGTGATGTCATTGGAGTGCCAGCACCAACAGTATTCTGGACATTTAATAGTACCAAACTAAGAAGTACTGAGAGAAAACAAATAACGACCGATTATAGTCTAATGTAAGTATTAATAAAGTATAAAGAATAACTAAAAAACCTGTTCATTGCCTAAAATTTCAATATGTAGAGGTTTTTATAAGAACAGAACCGCCATAGTGAACCACATGATGGGAATGAACAAATATCAGTATTTGTATTAATAAGCTATTATAAAAATATCAATTTTCAGAATCAAAACCACTCTGGCTGACACTGGATATTATGCGTGCCATGCAGAAAATAAGTTAGGGACAGATGAAATCAAAGTTTTCCTACAAGTATATGGTAAGTAATAATAATATGTTTTTTTTAAAGTGACGTACTTTTGCTGAAAAAAGTTCTATTAGTGTTATAACACAAAGGGACGTAGCGTGCGCGTCACGACGACCTTGATTGTGAGGGAAGCACATTTATTGTTTGGAAGTGCTAAATCCATCAAGCAGACGAGATCTGTCGTAAATTAAAACATTCAATTTGTTTTGGCAGTTCCTGTGACTATCGAGAAACCAATATCCAACTTAGTGCAGACCCTTGTCGGTAGAAATGAGTCGCTTTACTGTAAAGCCAATGGATATCCCGCACCAGACATAAAATGGACTTTCCACAGTGCTCCTGGTGCCCCTGGAAAAGATGTTTTGTAAGTGCTATAGTTCTGAGACAAGGTTCTTTGATTCCCATTTTAATTCATCAAAACCAAGCGAACGCCGGCGTTCCTATTGTTCTTCTATTGCGTCTCGAATGACCACGATCGAAACGTTAAATTAACTGTCACATTTTGAGGCGCTACAGCTTCACGAGTTATTAACGCTTAACTTCCACAAGTACCCAAGCCTGTACCGCTAGCAACGTCGCCATGGCGTCATAGTAAAGCAGGGCTAGCAGCGTATAAAAATCTAGTGAATATGAGTCGGACATACCAAAGAATTTGATTAACCGTATTATTTTTGCTACTAGGTCTTCTATACACCCTTCCCTACTATTCCTGCAAAAATTGCAGCTGAATCAACACGGTTTTTACACGTGCCGGGCTGAAAATATAATTAGTGGATCAGATAGCATTACTTATGAAGTGAAAGTGTATGGTATGTAACGCTTGTTGTTAACAATATACACATATAACAAAATTCCTTTTTTTAAACGAATAACTTGTTAGGAGTGATACAAATAGATGATGGCAAAGTTCAAAGTGGCTTCATATAGCTTTTTGAGGGGGGTAAATCAATAAATTATTTCCCGCCCCGGGAGTGTCCAACTATTACTGACCAAAAACACCCAATTTCCTCTCCTGCTTCGATCCAGAGCCGCGGTTCGAAATGTGCATGCACCGTAAACCCGAGGTTTTGAGCTATTTTATGTCTCATTAAAGTTTAAGTGTTGTAAATAGTTAATAAAGTCGATGTAAATAATTTCATCTTTTTATTTATACACAGCAATAAATTGTCGTTCTATTTTTTTTAAATAAGTAGGATTCAGGTTTAAGAACAATTTTGTAAATCTGGTGCTAGGCAAGAATCTCATTGATTTGTTACAATTTGGGCTGGGCTTATTGCGGATGCTGATGGAGACCGTTATATCTTCTATTTTAAAAGAATCGGTTGAAAAACAAATAGCCAGTCAACAATTTGCATGATTTTAACACGTTCTCGATGTTGGGTTCTTGCGAATTTGGATGTAAATACATATAACATATCATTTATATTTTCAGCACCACCAAGTATACAAAGAGTGTATCCGAGTAAGATATTTGAACCGGTTAATGGCGATTTGTTGCTTAGGATTCAATGCAAAGCTACGGGCAGACCTACACCTACTATTACCTGGCAGAAACACGGTCTTAACTTGCGTATGGGTACGTAACATTGACTATACAATAAATTATCATTTATAATTCCCAATCCCGTCGGGAGGTTGCAACGAATGCTTTGGCGATACCCGCCCCTCTGACACATGGATAATTGGAGGAACACCAGGTTTGTTTCTTAACCGACTACGGCAAAGCAAAAGGAGGGTTATGATTTTGACAGGCTATGTATGTATGTATGTTCATCTGTTAGAATGAACAAAAAATCTATCAGAATTCGACATATGACATATCATTAGAAACATCTTAGTTGTCCGCTGGTTATAGGCTATATCACAAAATCTAATGTGGCATCCTCTAGCGGACAAAACAACCAGAGTAAAAAAATAAAGTTAAGATAATTATACCGTGTTTGGTATCATTTTAAAGAGCTTTACTTGTACATTTTGAATATATAAATATTACTAGCATTTGCTTGTGACTTTGCTTGTATTCATGGGCTGATTGCATATAATTCATTCTCACAGAAAACCGGCGTGAAACAACCACAGCGTTGTGTTTCGCCGTGTGAGTGAGGTTACCGGAGGCCCAATCCTTCCCCTTCCTGGACCCTTCCCCAATCCCTAAATCTCCAAATCCCTTATCCCTAAAAGCTCGTCAACGCACTCGTAACTCCTCCGTTGCGGGTGTCCATGGGCGGCGTTGATTGCTTACCATCAGGTAATCCGTCTGCTGATTTATCGACTTATTACATTAAAAAAAAAATTCACATCTTTTCGTTAATACCTTTTACCTACTACTTAATATTACATAGTACATTCTTTCGTTGCTATTATAAATGCACCACAATTGCACTTTAACACCAAAATAGTATAGGTAAGTGATAAAAAGTATGAAAACTAAAACCCAACTACGAAGTAAATGCGACGTGTGAATACGCCTTTCAGTATTCTAAAAATCTTGTTTTATACTTTTTCAACGTCGGATTTTGTCGTAGTTGGGTTTTAGTTTTCATACTTTTGTGGGAATGAATCTAGTGAATGAATGAATGGTGATTGGGATGAAAAGACTGAGTGCCAGGGCACTCGACGGAGCGTGTGAGCGAGATGGAGTGAGTGAGGAATATAATGTGAACGGTGTTGAAAACGTGTGAACGTAACCAGGGTGACGACGGCAACGAGCCAAATAAAATAGTAAATTTTTCTAAGCGGTTTTATTTAAAAATATCCTCAATCCCCGGTACGAGGAGAGCTACACTTTTTATCATAGTCAGTAAGAGTCTGACAGTACGTATGTCCATCCAATCATCCAATTTGACTTTTTCGAATAGTTACTATCGAGAGACATATAAAATTTATTGAAAATGACGACTCACACCCGGTTTCTGAAAGGCTTGTCAACGCTAAAATTAACTAATCTCCTGTTAAATCTCTTGTCAAGTCATCTGATTGGTTGCTGATAATTCAGTCAACCAATCAGATGACTTGACAAGAATCGGCCTTTCGGAAACCGGGTGTTACTCACGTAAATAAACTGAGATTTTAATTATGGAGCAGCGTGCGCATCGCGGCGATGGCTCTATGGTTCCATAAGCTCCCTAGGACCAGGGAGCCACCCAGTTTGTCGGTATACGTTGGAGATGCGCAAGTCCAGGTTGGGCAATACATAAAGTATTTAGGTCTAATCTTGGATGGTCGGTGGGGCTTCGAAGAGCATTTCGAACGCCTGGTTCCTCGAGTCGAGAACGCAGTGGGTGCTCTGCACAGACTGCTGCCTAACATTGGGGGACCTCGAGAAGAAGTTCGCCGCCTCTACGTGGGCGTCGTGCGGTCGATGGTCCTTTACGGGGCGCCTGTTTGGTCAGCTCGACTGTCAGGCGTCCGACGCTGTAGAGCGAAAATTTTTCGTTTGCAACGGAAAATTGCCATCCGTATAGCACGAGGATACCGAACGGTGTCCTTTGAGGCGGCAACTCTCCTGGCTCGCTTTCCGCCATTGGATATCCTGGCGGACATGGACGCGAAAGTCTACGACCAAATACGCACTGTCCGCCGAAATGGCGGTAGGATGCCAGGAGTGGCGTTCGTTAGGCTGAGGCGGCAAGAAAGACAACACGCGCTCGTGCGGTGGCGTGAGCGGCTAGAACAGCCGGAGAACTCACGCAAGCGCGTTGTTGAAGCCATTCTGCCGCACTTCGAAGCCTGGCTGAAAAGAGAGGAGCGCGTCTCCTTCAGGCTTACTCAGGTACTAACCGGACATGGATGCTTCGGGGAGTACCTGAATAGGATTGGGCAAGAGGCCACGGCAAATTGCCACCACTGCGGAGGCGACCTGGATTCCGCACAGCACACGCTCGAGGAGTGCCCAGCGTGGGCCTCTGAGCGGCGGGTCCTAGTCGCTAAGATCGGGCGAAACTTGTCTCTGCCAGCAGTAGTTAGGACTATGCTGGCAGATGCAGAAAATTGGAGAGAAGTGGCCTCGTTTTGCGAGACTGTTATGTCCCAAAAGGAGGCTGCTGAGCGGGATCGCGAGAGGGCCGATCCTGCTCGTAGAAGGAGGCAATCGCCTTGAAGCTTAATACGTCGAATCCCGGCTGCATGAAATTCAGGCGGACCTTTGGGGTCACGGGTGCATAGAGAGGGGACTCTAGGTACTCATTCAGTGGTCCCAGGGAAGACGGTGGTACAGTGGTCACGTACCGCCGTACACAGCGAGGCTCGTGCTCGAGGGATGTGCCGTCACAGGCGTTTCACCGTGGGGGTTCCGGAGTAGGTCTCTTGTAGAGGACCCGGGGCCCCTTACAGGTGATGAGGGTGGCCACCGGGGTGGTTTTAGTGAGGTAAAAATCCCACAATCCCTAGTCTTTCTCCCCAAAAAGCTAGGCGCCTTTTGAAGGTTTCCCCCCGATACAAAAAAAAAGGACCGCTGACTATAGTCAACATCAATTCACCCAACTTGACAAGGACCCAAGGTTCGGCTGTCGGATCCATGAGTTAGGAACAGGTTGGAACTTGATATTAATCTTATATCACAATTTGTTTACTCAGATACTGATTATTATGGCATGGAAGATGATGGTACTTTGATTATCAATAACATAGACCGTGCTTCACAAGGTACATACTTGTGTCTGGCAGAGAATTATATTGGCAAAGATAGTGAATACTATAACGTGGTTGTTAAAGGTAAGGATTTTTTTTCTAAGAACTTGTAAAGATTTTTGTTTGAAATAAATCGTAATTTGTTTAATTTCCTATCTTGACTAATAAAGATTTTAATTTATTTTTAATCAAAAATTTTCGTTACAGACATATTATCCATAGTACCCTCAAAAACTTTATATGTACAGGCAGGCAAGTCTATTAATATCAAATGCGATATACCACATGGGGCTATAGATCACTTGCGTTGGTTTAAGGTAAATAATATTAATTTAATAAGTTAAACATAGATGCGGTTTATTTTTATTTTTTTTGTGATAAAAGACGGCAGTGCGCGTGCTGCTAAATATCTCGCGCTTACGGATATTATTGTGAAGTATCACGCACAAACCTTAGAGGTTTAAGTTATCGTGAATCATATAAAATGATGTACACATTGTTTTTGAAAATTAAATAATAATAATAAATATGAGAGTAGTGAGAGACTAGTAATCCTGCTCAGAGGGTGGAAGCGGAAGGAGTGTTCGTAAGCGGCGAATGGGCCAATGCTGCAGGATACTTAGGCAGATGCAGATGATCTGAGTAAAAGCTGGTGGCAGTTTCTTCACCCTTCAGCCACTCACATTTCCGTTGTCCATCTGTTGCTATTACTAGCAACCATTTCCGGGGGTCTGGGGAA